GTTCTGTATCATTTATTTCTTTTTACAATCACTCGCACAGTTCTATAAATAATTGGTTCTGGTTTGGCTTTAATTTGGTCATAATCAACTTCAGGTGTTGACCAGAAGGCTATCATTTTTAAATGAAAAATGTCCAGAATGAAAATATTTAAACCAGTGACGGTCTACCTTGTTGATTGTTTAACAGAACGGACGTGTTGTGAAGTTGTGACACGTCCGTTCTGTTAAACACGTCAGTAGGTTAAGTAAAAATTTGTTAGATATCGCGGTCTATCTGTGATTACTTTTGACTATCTGTAATCATAGATTACCCAATTATAGCGTGCTTTACGTTATTATGGGATAAAATATGATCCGATAATGCAGTAGTGTTTGATTTCATCGCTTCAATTGTTACAAATTGTTAAATCCATTGTAATATCCTATTTATTAAGAAAGCATATAAGTACCTAATTCGCCGCATAATTTGCGCCGCCAAAGACAAAAAGATCGGATAGTGGTTTCTACATGAACTCACTGTGCATCAACCACAATAACAAAGTCAAGTCGAATATTCCGTTAACTTGTCGAGTATATAAGACTTTTGCTTGTTAAGAAAAGTCGAAAGTGATAAGGTTTTGTATGACTAGAGAAATACGTCAATTTGGCAGCACGATAAGAATTCAAGTATAAATTGAAATAAAACAAACTTCTTGTGTGTGAATCGCGTTACCGACGGCAAGCCCGTTGATTTTTAAGCAATTTGCATTTTTGTTTGGCTTTTCCCTCTCCCAAACGAACAGACTGGTATGGGGGGGAGCCCCACGGGCTTACAGAAGACCATTGTTAAGTGGAAGTTTTATACTTTTGAATATCTCACGGTCCGTGTTTTAGAAATTCGTAATGGCGTTTTTATTGCGATTCTTCTAAACCGCTTCTAAACATATCACTTGAGTAAACTATTTAAACGGAATTATTTGCAGATAAATAATGTCAGTTAATAGTAATAGTTCAATGTTTTAATTTGACAACTAATTCAACCATGAATAACTATTGTTTGTATTATTTGGTTCTTTCTTTGCTATCTCGTCATGAAATCTTATCAATTATTAAATTGATTAAATCAATATTCTGTATAAGATATTGCGTTAAATAGGTAGAAGTAATAACTTATGTAGAATACTAGCCGAAAACAGCCACATTCGCTGTGGCTTTTTTTCATTTCCGTTGGAACTTCGGATTGACTATTTTTTAACAAAAATACAGAAGCAAAATTTTTATATATAAAATTAGTAAATTCAAGTTATTGCGAAAAACCTAACTACAGCATGCTTTAGGCTAAGGAAAACTTTAATTATGGAAACCACCTTATTCTTTTCTTTATTAATTTTTTTTAAACATTGCTCTTACTTTAAGATAACATTATCCTGTCTTGTAAGGACGTTTTACAAAAGTTTTACTTTATGTTTCGAATAAAAAAATATTGGCAGATCAAGCCACACCGTCGATGTACCTATGTGTGTCGTATGTATGTCGATAGGAGTCTCCGATAATGTTGCATGGTATATGATTATTAAGTCACAATGGCCGTAAATGATACAGATGATTTAGGTGTGATGCTTGCAGTTGCCATGGCGAATTTCATCAATTAAAATGATACCAAACATTTGTCCGAAAGGGCATTGCCAAAAATACGATAAAGTCAAGCCAACATATAAAGTGAATTACAATCTAATATAAAAATAACATCAACATGTATTTTAGTAACCATATAAAATTAATAAATATAATTCAGAAGCTAATCAAGATAAAGATTTTGAGTTTAGTTTGTGATGCAACCATCCATGACGTAAGAAAAAGAATTGGATCTAGTATATCTGTCAGGTTTATTTATTTGCCATTGCAAAAGAAGTGAATGTGTACTTATACCGTACATTATCAGAAAGTTGACCGTTGCATTATTTTGCTTCCATATTTTATTTCAGAGATATATAATGACATATATTGATATAATGACTATCTTCTCGAAAGTACCTACCAATAAATAAATATAAGTCATTGTCAGAGACGCGCCGTTCAGTAACCCAATGCAATAAATACCTACTATACGTACTGTAATCTTTATTACATAGTTAAATACAAGAATGAAACACAAAATTTGCCATATTCTGTTTCAATTTTACTAGGTAGGCAAGTAAAGGTTAAGGAATATTGCTATATATATTCATTTATTTTATATGCTACTGCTTCCTGCAACTTTATGTAAAGTTAGAAAATTAGAAGTAAGTACTACCTTAGTTTCAAATAAGTTCTGACGTAACTATGAATAATGGCAATTGATTACATGTATTTAGATAGCATAGTACAGTCATGATTTTTTTGAGAACTTGTCTTAATAAATGTAATGATAATTGTATGCGCTAGGACTAAGTAACAAGCATATGAACCTACTGTTTTTTTTATTTTTGTAGAAAAGGAGAGAAACGAGCAAACGGCCCCTCTGGTGGTGAGCAATCACAGCTGTTTATGGAAATTTACCTATTACCGACCAAACCATTGACGTAGTAAATTAGTAAGTTGTTTTCATGAAGTCCCTAAGTCGTCGCTGATCTTGAGTTACTTCTACAAATTTAACATGACTAAGATTATGGCAAATATGTAAAATAATTTCCAGCTAAAAGAAATAACAATATATTTATAAAGTCTGTATATGCAATAAAACCAACTTTGCAATTTGAAGGGCTTGGATATTTGATCAAATATAATTAGATGATCATAGGCTGGGCTTATTACCTAACCGTCATTATATTAATTAGTCAATAATTCTTAGCTATACTTACCACTTTTTAATACACAAAATTTTTACAATAAACTACAGAGATAGCGTAAACTTAGTAATAAGGTTATATAAGGACAAGGCAAAACAAAGTGTAGTAAAATTGCGTTCACAATATTCATAGGAAAAAGTACTGGGATTACAGTACAAATTATCCTAACATTGACTGAAGTATGGAGTATGCTGGTAACATATACTGTATAACTGTATTATACATACAGACAAAAAACAAAAAAAAAGGAATAGCTGTGATTGATTGGCTTTTACAAAGCACGCGCATAGACGTATGAGATTGATTAAAAACCTTTACCTTACTGAAACTCAGTATAGAAATAAAAACTCCACTAGTACATTCCAGATAACAAACATTGACTTCGTAAAACGCGAGATGCTAAAACATTGAACCATTAGAAATCGGGGTTTCTTCTTGTTATGTAGTAACTGCACAAGGAAAATAATATTCGTAACTCGATAATCCAGGTGAACAAACATTTACATAAATTAGTGAGGCTGTCATCTGCCTTTAATCCAAAGGATTTCCCCCGTGGCTTTTTAATGAAAGTAATCCTCAAGGATAATGTGAACTACCTACATAGGAAAAAAAAGATTTATTGTTGCATTGTGCAATATGGAATTCCCTCGCCGTATCTCATCTATACATATAAATATATAGTAACTTTTAAAGGAAAAGTTAAAAGTGTCATCGTGATTCTTTTTATAAACCACTATTATAGTGAAGAAGTGGTTTTTATGTTGAATGACCAACGCTACTCATGGACTTATGGCAGCACCAGAGTAAGAAATTTGTAGTCGCTTTGTCGGCCTTTGAGGAAGGTAGAAATTTTCTTTTGAAAGTCTAATTGATTAACGTGATTTTTCATAAAATTCTGTAGGTAATACCAAAAAACCGCACTTTATTATTTGACGAAACTAAATCATGTATTATTACACCTTTAGTACCGTTTACCTCCCAAAGCCAGGGTAACCCAAACTTCATTATGATGGTTTTACCTGTTTTGGAAACATGCGCTGAAAAACTTTCAGCTTTTATAAAATGACGAAGGTTTGGGGTTCACGGGCTCTTAGACTATAAGATTTTATGTCTTTGGCCGTAAGCCACTATCTTCACAAACCTGCATAAACTTTAGGTAATTTGAAATAAGCTGCTACGCATCTGGGACTGAGTGGTATCAACGTAACGTTGACTTGACGTAACGTGATTGTAGACTCCCTACTCTAAGCGACAATGTTTAAGAGTTAACCGTAAAAGCCATTTGTAACACACACAGTCAGCTCGCCTACGATCCTGGCGAAATCTCAAGCACCCGTGTTCCAAGGCGGTTTTCGTTCTCTCCGCCCCCTATCCAACGTTTAATACTGTCAATGGCCATCGAGATCATCGCGCGGAGGGCCGTATCAAGCTCATTGGTTCTGGGTGGCCCACTAGTTCTGCTTTCGATGAAGCTTTTAATAGTCTACGGACTGAAAGCGAAAACATCTGTTATAGTAAAGTAGTCTATAAAAGTGAACTTTTCATATCTTCAACTTTTTTTATTTCGATAATTTGTCTCACTCTAATGTTGAGAATGCTATGAGTACATAACATTGCAGCGAATGTTCTCGTTCACAAATGCTCTAATGTTAAATAATAATCAAAAAAATATTGAACATTAAATAATATTTAACAATGTGATTAATTTGTGATTTATTATAACTTGTGTACAGCAATCTGTGTAATTTAAGAAACTTAAACTTTGAACGACATAATCAAACATTACCAATGTTTCATAGTGCTGTTTAGTTTTGGTAACTTCTTACTCTTTGAAAGAAAAAAACATTACTGTAGGATAACATAACCTTATTTCAAAGAAGTTTTGGAAACAAATGAAACAAGGACAAATATAATTCTGATCCGAAACAATAATTGACGAAAATAGATGATTATCCTAAAACATGAAAATAAATGATGAATGAATCCGCAACGCTAGTCTTATGCTTGCCTTAGCAATTGTACTAACCAAATTAGTAGGCCAACACCTATTTATGTATTTTATTTTCAATTTTTACATCATACAACAATTTAACTAAACATTTTAATTTTACATTAGAGATTATTTTTCAGTATATTCACTTCATGATTTACTACTACTAATGAAACAAGTGTTTATAAGAAATTTTTTTATTATGCAGCAGTAGCTTTCATTTTACGTGCAGACTGCCTTGCTACTTTTTTCTTTAATAGCATCTGTTTCTTCTCTTCTGGTGTCTTCTTAAGACCTTTCATTTTGCGAGTTTGAAGTCTGTTAATGTCCTGTTTACCAATGTGGATACGACCCAATTTAGTTCCAAATGCGTCCTTAGAGATATTCTTCTTGGTAAGTGGTTTAATCTCTCTAGGTATTTTACAAGACTCTTTATACAGATCATCAGACGCCAATTTAGTTCTCCTTAATTTAAAATCTATTGATGGTCCTGGAATTTGTATTAAAATGTAGGTGCAGAAAGTCATGTTATAGAATATGCAAGACCAGTCTCAATGAGTTATCAATTTTAGAGTCCTTTTAGAAGCAAAAATTGTTCGGTCTTTGTGCACATGCTTTTTGACCCTCTGTCTATACATAAAAATGTATTACCCATTTAGGCAAAAAACTACCATTACTCAAAACAAAATAAGCATGGTGAAATATGGAACAGGATTGAGTTCAAAAGATGTGAGATTTTTTAAATTGATGACATTGGCACTATTTTTGGCATTATTGGCACATGAGCCCTCTAAACCTATGGCATCTGTGATTGTCCTCCAGGAGGACAAGGCCCAGTGGAATACACTTATGATGCTGAAAATATATGAGAAATAATATTTTTACTTACCTATTTCCTCAAGTTCAATTCTTGGTGTCCTCTGACCACTCTTCTTTAGTATAATACGATAAGACCTGAAGAAGATTGATCCAGTTTCAGTTGCTGTAAAGCTCAGTACATGTTCCAACCCTTGCAGTCTGATACTTTCTACCTGAAATAATTAAATCACATAGAAAAATTAAATAATTAAATAAACATTCTATTGTGTGCTATAGTAAGCATATTATGTTGCTTATTGTTGTTGCTATTGCTTAAGAACAATCCATACAAAAATACCAAAATTGCTTAAAATGTAATTTAGGTAATTGTTTACAATATCATCATTCTCTTTTATCATTATATACAAACATTTATAATCCATAGAGGAACATAACCGAAACAATAATTATGAATTAGAATTTTGCGCCATTGTGATTTTGAGAAAAAAAACTAAATCTTTCAATGTTAATAAAACGGCCTTAACATTCCACACAAAATTCAATTTTGTCAATAACTTTAACAGGAAACTCAAGATTAAAACTGGTCAAGTTATGTTATATATATACAGCATGTCGTTACCATCGCGACAGTAAATGAACACACGTCTAACGCTACTTGCCAATAATCATAAAAAAATATTAATGTTAAACAAAATCCATAATTTAAAAAAGGTAGCGACATACTGTATATTATGTTTTAGTCGGTACTTTTCCAAAAATTTCAAGAATATACCTTCTCTCTGTGAAAGAAATCAGTGAAGAGAGATTTTAGTCGTTTTAAATCCTGATTTAAATCCCATGCAGGTCCATTAAAAATAAGGCATGGCTTGAGGCCAGCCAATACCTTCATGTTATGAAATTCAGACATAGCTTTATAGTTGTCAGCACCAAGTTCTATCATATCTAATATCCCATAATCAAAGGTTCTTCCAAGAATGATATTATGAGGACGCTTTTTGCTATGCGTTCCAACCCCAAACAAAGCCGCTTCTTTCTTATAGCACATTCTGGAATAAAATATGAATTTAACATTTAGTTTAGATGAATACTGATTATTACTCAATTAAACTTGCTAGCTCATAGCTTAGGCTTGCTTTTGATTTAATAAAAAATTTTATAGTGGCCACAATTGGCTGAAAATCATGTCTCAATAAGACTAAAAAACAAAGTTTCAAAAATATGGTTATAAAAAAACATATGACATATTCATGCATGTCATGTGTTTTGATTTTATATATTTTCTTCATAACCATAATTATATCCATGTATGTCAAGAAATATGTAATAACATAAAACAAAATCCATTCTTACTTCTCAATCAAGGTAGAGTCTTCAAATGGAACAAAATCATTTTTTCGACTCAAAAAAGCTGCGTCAGGTTTTTTTAAATCATATATGTCTTTTAACAACTTTCTGGTTCGTTCTGAAGGATTTCGCCCTTGAAGAAATATACACTGTTTTGGTCCTTCAATAGGTTTAGGCTCTTTGGAAAGCAGAACTTTCTTGCCTTTACGTGTTGTAGGTTTTCTGTAAAAACATTAGAATATTGGCAAGGTTAATTAATAACCGATATAAGATTTGTTGCATGAATTCAATAATTACTATTAAAAATATTTACTTAATACGTTGAATAACGGCCATTTTATATTAATTTACAATTATGTTACTCTAATAGTACCTACAAATACAACAAACACGTGTATTTAAAAATTGACATTGACACTTCAGTCACTTCAGTGACAGTGACACAAACGATTGACCAAAACAAAAGCCAAAATAAATAAATACATTTTTTCTGGCAAAAATGATTTTTTTCATTTTAAAACAGTATATTATTATCATATAGGTAGTTATAATTTATTTAATAGTAAACTATATTTTTAAGAAATCACGTAATAGGTATGTTCATTATAATAATTTATGTGAAAAAAAAAAGAACTTACTCTTATAATAATTATATTAAACTTGTTATAATGCCACTCGGAAGAAGTTTATAACGTGTGCTTTATACATTTACTTGATAGATTCTTTTTGCTTTTTTTAAACCTAAAATTTTGCTTAAGCTGCTTCAAGTAAAAACTTTATTTCAAGTTGATGCCTTCGTAGAGCAACCAGGTCTCTGTAATATATTATGTAGAACGCCGAATCGCAGCACATCATAATTACTCAGCATTTACTTTAAAACTAGTGGAGATAATACTGTAAAAAATAAGAATCTTATATATAAATATACTATGTTATATTATAAATTGATTTTGAGATGAGCAACTATTGAGTTTCTTGCCGGTCTCTTCTCAACAAAAAGTTCTTTCCAAACCGGTGGTAACTTACTTATGAACTTTTTTATCAATTTTTATGTAAAAATGGCGTTTCGTCTATCCGTTCTCATATTGTTATCATATAACAATTACCTATATTGCTCTACTGATTCCGCAGGACTTCTGCCTGTGGACCTCATCCGATGAAGCAGTGAAAGCTGACTACAATAAAAAGAAGTTTGTGCAAGACAAGTGCTACATAAATCCGTGGAACATTCTGCTTCAAGCTCTCGTGCGGTGCGGACGTCTACAGAAAAGCAGTAGCGTCAGCAGCTCAAGCGCAGCTCGGTTGCATTTCATAATTATTATTATGTTAGTTTAGTGGTGTGTTCGTGGTGGGTTGCTATTCTGAAAGGTACCTTTTGTTGGTACGCCGCTCCCGTCCTAAGGTGCAGGGGCCTACTTTAAGGTAAGTACACCGCCGGCGGGGCCCTAAACCCTAAAGGCTACGCTTCCTATCGATGCGCACGGTCACCTGACTAATTTCGGCACACTATGAGTAGGTCGCTTGCTTTAATGTATTGGAATCCCGACGGTGTGAGCCTGAAGGCGGCAAAACTTCACACCCTCACCCAGCTATACGACATACATATCATATTACTGGGTGAGACTAAACTTAGGCCGAGTCAACCTTTTATGCGCCCTAATTACTTCACGTATCGGTGCGATGAGGTCGCTCTGCAAGGGATAGTGTACCGTGGTACAGCGGTTCTTGTGCGGAGGGATCTAATACATGACGAGTTAGGGAATAGTCCGTTCGTTACCATGTCCGCTACAGGTGTGATATTAGGTGTGGGTGAGAGAGTTATTCGAACCTACGCCGCGTACCGCCCTCCTCAACCACATCTTTACACTGTAGATATACACCCCATATTTGATGGTAGCACCCCTGTGTTGATAGTGGGCGATCTCAATGCCAAATACTTGGCTTGGGGTTCTCGCTTAATCAACCCAGCGGGCAGGGCAATTCATCCCGACTCCGATTTTTTGAGATACACTGTGTTGGCTCCATCACATCTCATAGAACCGCATTACAAACCCGATGTTTATTATTGCCTTACAATACCGTGCCTAGCACGACTAGCAAGATGTCTATATACATCGGTATGTATATAGACATCGTGCTAGTCTACGGCTGAGATCGTCCACGTTGACACAACTCGGTCGGGGTTACTCGATATCCAGAAGGCCTTCGACCGAGCGTGGCACCAAGGTCTTTTATTTAAATTAATAACAACAACCACACTCCCGCATCCCTTATCAGGCTCTTGTCATCTTATCTTAGCAATAGGAAATTCTATGTAGTGGTTGTCAGCGTACAGTGCTAGGTGAACTGAGGGGTCTCACTCTCCCTGAGGCGACCTTCCAAGGTGGGGATGTCATCGGTGTATACCTTGTGTACACCGGTGAGTCCTATATTAAATAACCTGTAACTTAGAGTCACGCGTATATCATAGTTTCCGAGCCGAATTTAGGCAAAACATTTCCCGGGGGGATGGTGCGCCCGTTGAGACAATGCCCAGGTCATGGGATTCGATTCCCCGACACCCGTACTTGTACCTTTCCGACTCCTAGGGCAGTGTAGGTGATCTCGGTGGTGTAAGTGGCTACGCTTCCTTCATGATGGGAACTCTCGCATTCGCGGCGAAACGTAAGCAATTCATGCATGTGACAGCGACAGCCCAGCTGCACCGGCTACCGGCGGTGGCACCACTGGCAATCACTTTACCCTTTGCAAGAGTAGCATCTGCCGCAGAAACATCCATAGCGTCAACATTTCATGCTGTGACTTCCACTGCCTCATCATCTGCGCCAGCGTTTTTTTTATGGAAGAAGATGGCAAGACCCATGGGGTCTTGATGCGTTACCGTCTTTCAATTAAATGGACCCCGGCTACATCACTAACCAGATGATACGCAGAAGTATAACATTTCCACTTCACGCTGGTTTTCTGTGAGGTCGTGGTACTTTCTCGGAAGGATCTGTCCATTCGTGCAACAATTGCATGGCTTTTCCACAGATGAAACGGCCTTCTTCTATGCCAACGTTCCCGGCTCTTGGACGCTAGCTCGGACATGCATATAGACCCAACAGCGCCCATCCAAGCTGATGAAGAGAGACTTTACCGAAAGTACCTTTAAGTTCAAATAATGCCGTATGTTTAACAGCGACTCAAAAGTGAGGCCAACACAAGTAGTTATCCTGTCATGAATCCTGCTAAAAAGGCGGCCTCGAGCTAGCCAAATATACATAACTCAACTGAAACATTCGCCCACACCACCGAAGGTAACAAACCAAGCTTTCTCCTTCCATCATCATCCAGGAGAAGACGAAATGGTATATTATCTGGCTTTGAATTTAGTTTCACAATATCAGCAGCGATGTGCAATTTAAAAACACTTATCAAGATATTCGGCTGTACATACCTAGCATACTCGGGCGTTTTCCTTCGCGATCAAAAGGTAGTTGTCCACACCTACCTACTATGAGAAGACTGCAAACTTCAAGTTGATTAGAGGCATCCCGAAAGAGATTGAAGTCAACGAGATACTAGTTGTCATTCACAGATCAACCTCATTTTACCTAATCTAATCTACCACAATTTACACGGCGCGTGAAGGATGTGGTACTGATAGTTTATAAAACTAATAGTTAAAAAAGTGTCTTCTTCTTAACAGTACCAGCACAAATCCATTTGCCCGGACCGGGTGTCATAGCACCGTAAAAGAGGAGGCCCAAGAAGTCCATAGTCGCATCGAAGTCGCGGAAGATTGTGCCTTGGTTTACCCGTGTCCCTGGCCGATGCGATAGAGACGGTAGTAGGGCCACGCAGCAAACTCGGCTGTTGCACGAATGGGCAGGCTTGTCCGGGTAAGTCCACGACCTCATAGAAGACCGGCGTCAAGTGAAAATATAATACTTTCACGTTTCTTCTGGTGAGTGAGAAAGACGGAGCCCAATTTTCAAAAGGTTGTCAACGCATCTGCAACCCTCAGGATTCAGATGTTCATGGGTGGGGGTATTCATTTAACATCAGGTGAACCGCCTGCTTGCTTGGCAACTTTTCACATAAAAAAGTGCAAATTTTTAGTGGGACTTCTTGTATTGAAGTCGTTAAATGTAATTTTCACGATTACTTTACCACCTGTAAAAATTTGTTTCAGTATAAAGGCACCATAATGTAGGCAGTGATACAGCAAAATTACAGCGATTATTTTTTCCTGTTATGAAACAACTAAATTCTATTTTAACAAGTAAATTATCTTATTCTACATTCATAGAGCTGTTGTACCATTTTTTTACATTTATGCGTATAAAATTAATACTTTTTAAGTATGCATACTAATATTATTATAAATATATAAGAAATTTTTAAGATTTACCGATTGCAATCTTCATGACTGTATCTTGGAAGGAGATTCAAGATCTATTATATTGTGTTTATATCAGATGCAAAAGATCCTAAAACTTCCTTGGGTTAGCTAAAATCATACATATGTAAAATATATAATATTTTGACTCGTTTGCTTCAGTAATTTCGGTTCGGCAAATGGACTGGATCCAGTTGGAAATTATCACTGCGTGTGCCTTAGCACTATCTGGTCAACTCATGTCGAAGAACTATTCGTAAACTCGGCAGTTTACAATCACTATGGAATTAGTTCAAGTCACCTCAATAACGGTGTGCGAGCGAAATGCATGTATATATTTGCGATATCCACGTAAATGTAAGTTGTTTTGAACCTAAAATTTTCTATACAATTATGCGTCTTGTCACGATTTGTTTATCTAATGTTAAGGAAGTTTGTATTTGTAATATTTGATTTAAAATATTTTAATAACTAAATAGATTTTTATCACATATTATTATATAAGGGACTTTTTTTTGTTTAGAGCCACGTTTGTACATCATTTATCGGCCGTTTATTTCGGACAGACGGCGAAGGTCAAAGACCAATCATGATTAACAACTAATCAAAACATCACAGTTATTATAATTTGATTCAACAACTAAATTAATAAATATTTTTACATTGTTTTGTAACACTTTATTTAATCGATAGTTATATACATACATCATAATTGGCGACCGAAACACGATATACATACAGCCGAATGGATATTTTGGGAATATTATCAAAATTTCGTTAAATTTTCTTTATTATCATAACTAATTTTTTTAAGTTATAGGTTCTTCTTTTGGCGCGTTTGAAAAAATTATAAGAGTAAAAATTTTAAGATACGCGCGCACCCTGACAAAAGCCAAAAAGCGACCAATAACAACATTTTGGTACGACCCTGAAATCCTAAGTTTTAATAATT